TGCGTGTGCATGTATATGGTGGGGTGTCTGTGGGACTCATTCTATGAACACACACGCATGCGCACAGAGGCATGGCCCTGTGGTCCCGGTCCAGCAATGCAGCTGGGAGCCACGTGGTGCTGGAGCAGGGCAAAGGCAGGAAGCAGGGAAATAGCTGGGGATGGGGCAGGGCTGGGCCCTGCCTCCTGCTGTGGGCTTCCCCTGGGTCCTACTGCTCCTGGTTCCTATCATCTTTGACAGGCAGCCAGGAGCAAATTAATATTAATTTACTAAATTTTTTTTAGGGGCCCCACAGGCCAAATAGAATGGCTTGGTGGCTCAGATCCAGCCCACAGACCATATTTTGCCCACCCCTGGGCTAGAAGGATCAGTAAAACATAGCACCTAACTACAGTGTTACCTAAATAAACAGACTCAGGGTGTCTTTCTGAACTATGCCTGTGTAAACTATGCAAACCATTTCCTAGAGAAGGACCTGCACAGCCAGGTACAGAGACTGAAAGACAACCCCCCATCACCCTCTGTCCCACATTTTTTTTCCCAAGCACTTCGAGCATCTGTGACTTTTCTTAAATGCATCTGATTCAAAGCTTTCCTTGGAGCCTAGGTTCCCTTTGGCCCTAACACTGATGACTGTTTTGGAACAGTCTGTTGCTCGACAAATGACTGCAAAGTAAATACAGATCTGATTTCCCAGTAGTCCTGACCAGCTGGGCAGAGAAACTTAATTTGTATAAATGCAAACACATATGAAAACCAACAAGATTGGTAAGGAAAATCATGAATAATTTGAATCAATTTATGCTGCACAACAATATATATATATATTTTTACAACTGTCTTTAGATGAGATAGCCCCTGTAATGAATTTGAATTAGCACTGACACCAAGAGAAGAGAGAAAACTCATTTCCAAAACCTTCAGATTAGCAATTTTCATGGCCTGACATGGGCAAAATGCCAGTACAGTATTATGTGAAACAGATAAAATTTAAACCAAATCAAGCCAAGCTCATTCTGTAAATTACTTTAGGGAAACCTACATTAGCTTATTACTCTAAATGGTAGTGGGGTATGCCATACAGTAGATGGTTTTCTACCTTGCTTTTAAAACCAGGAAATACATTAATCAGTGCTTTCAAAGAATCCCTATAATACCTGTTAGTGCAACAGTTACAGACACTATCACGGCATCTGTCAGTTACCACAGTGAGGGCCAATCTTTTTGTCAGGTGTGCCACAAATTAGCCCCATGCCCTCCCTGAGTACCACTCTCTTTCCCTTATGTGTTCTGCTACTCAGCTTTCTGCTCCCTGCCCTATGCTCCCCACCTGATCTGGTGCTCTACTTTCTGCTTCCTGCCCTCTCTGCCACTTTGCTGCCTGCCCTCACCAATCTGTTTCATGCCACACACACAGGCTGCTCATGCCACTTATGGCACCCACGCTGCAGGACGGCCACCCCTAAGGTCCTAGATGTTGTAAGCAGAGACATAACCTGGTGTCAGTTCCAAAAGATCCACTTTCACTGATACTTACATGGGCAATGTCCCCTTTTGTACCAATGACCCTATCCTGAGAGTGCTTGCTGAACTCCACATAATGGTCATCTGGGAAGGAATGCCTGTAAACAACAATCAGTGAGCAGCTAAGTAAACTGCAGATTCAAACAGTTTATCATAACACCCAATGCAGAAATACTTCTGATAGAGCATAACATTTTTGAACATAGCTGCTATTAAGCAGAAGAGCCTTCTCAGCTCCATTGCCTGGGAAGGCTCAGTGCTAAAATACTTCATGTAGCTGCACATTTGCCAGAAAAGCATCTACTATATACCCATATATAAGCTGCAAGACAATTATGTATTGATCACAGATTTGCTGTATTACAAGCCACTTCACAACATTTATTCCAGTTGCTTATAAAGATGCAGGCTTAACACTATATTTGCTGGAGTAAGTAGCTACTAGGGAAATGGAAAATTCACACATTTTTGGAGTATCCAAGTATGCAATGGTCAAACATCTGAGAAACAAAGCATCTTTTCTTTTCTTCTCTTAAAAGGGGGAACAGTCAATATTGAAACTAATTTAATGTAACTTTATTTGTGGTAGCCAACTACTTTGCAGAATTCACTATACAAATCACTGTTTACTTTTTTCATAACCACCCTAAAAGTGTTGAAATACAATTTACTAGCCCAGGAAAAAAGGACACCCTACTATGATACAAGGCATGCTCATGATGTTACTCATCTATCTCCAAGCAAATTTGACCCCCTAGGTAAGAAGAATTTTGTAAAAATGTCTTCAACCTATGAAGTGATAAAAGACATTAATATGAGAACACAGTCATGTTACACTGTTCAGATAGTAACAGCTTGAATGCTCTGGTAACAGCTGTGTTGTGCAGTATTAATGTTTTATAAAAAAATTAGTACATTTTTCCCTTTGAAGTTCTTTCATGGAATTGATAAACTTATAAGTATTCTTAATTTGTAGGATCATTTTAACCTGGTCAATACTGTGAGATCCATCTTCTGTAGCACCCAAAGGCTGCTTAAGCTTTCTTTTCTTCCATTCTTAAAAGTTGTAGCAGTGTCCAGAAGCTTGTTGTCAAGCTGCCCAGAGGCCTGTCAGTCTGGCCTCTGAGCACAACCGCTCTCTTAAGAAGCCAAACTGTGTGCAACTAAATGCAGCATTATGCTCTAAATATTTTCACTTAAAACAAAAAACCAAACTTGTTCATTGCTATGAGGATACAGCATGATGGGTTTTCCCAACTGCCCAAAGTACCCATTTTTTGCTGGATTGGTTTCCTACTAGATAGAAGCTCTTTCTTGCTAAGTATCTGAATACGTTTTTGTAGTTTCCTACTCTAGGGGATTTTGGGTACATTTTTTAAATGCTCCTGTAAATATGGCATACTCCAGACTGGCAGAGAGAGTACTTACTTCATATCAAAGACAGATTTCATCCCCCACAGTGCAGAGAGAGGCTGGCTCCACGTAGCAGATGTCAGCAATAAAGATCCATCCTGTATTATCAAGGATGAAAAGAAAGCAAAGCAAGACAAAACAACACTTTAATTAGCTATAGTTAAATTAGAACAAATATGGCGAATACCTTACTAAAATTGCTATAGAAATTATATATATCTTAAGATTCACTGGAACTTCCATCACAATTGACTCTAAAGCAAAACACCATGACCTTCTTCATGTGGAATCTCATTATTCCTATCTACTTCTCCAGGAGGAAGGCTACTTTTCTTCACCCTCCAGTTCCCTCAGAAGGGCCCCAGGTTACCAT